TTGACCCCAGGCCAAGGGAAAAATCTATGATAGCTGACATAAGCTCCTCTCTTCAATATTCAGTAACCCCATGGGCTGGTCAGACTATACTTTTGTTTTCTATAATCCTTTCAAACAAGCACCTATGCTGTCAGGAGTAGAGTAAAAGAGATGGCTGGAAGAATTTCCAGGAAAGAGCAAGACCGGGAAGAAAAGCAGAAAGAGTAACAATCATTATCAAAAGACATGCAAATCAATGCACGTTCAGATTTATTTCCTAGAAGCGGAGGGTTAAAGTAGGTTGAGAAGCAGCCTTCAGGGTCGATTTGCTCAAATTTCAAATTAGAAACATTCAAGTGATTTCAAATAGAATAGAGGTCCATACGTAAGTATAAAGTGGGTACCAAATCTTTAAGATTGCTTACTCTGGCCAGTTTTTAAGTAAACTGGGTGATAGCTTGTATCAGTTCATTTGTATCAGTTACCTGGTTCTTTTGTGGGCAGCTAACCACAAGGTCAATAGTACAAACCCACTAGCCATCTTGCAGGAGAAGAACTTGGATCTCTCCTTCCCCAAAGAGTCTCAGAAACCCATTGGGGCGGTTGTACTCTGTTATAGGGTCTCTATAAAGCAGATGTCACTCGATGAAGTGAGTTGTTTGTGATTCTGAAGATGTAGGGACAGCCTGCCCTATCAGCCTTTCCTGCTAGCTGTTATTGCTGGTATATCTTTCATGTGCTGCTTTATGTTGACGAACTCTGTATCAGTCTGTGTCCTGACTACCGGTGTAAGCGCAGGGAGGCCCAGGTAACCTTCACATAAGTCCTTGAGTCCTACCAGTCAGAAAGCCATTGCCAACCTTCCTCACCCTCTGACCTTGAGTTTCGAACATCCTGGAAGCTCTTTGCCAGTAGTCCATGTCCCACTGTGGACACACTGCCATAGCACGGACTTCCCAGGCCCAGCAGCCCTCTGGGTCCTTTCGCTCTTCCATACAACTCCTTGATGACCCCTTTCAAGACCCAAGTTTTGAAAGCATGGGCTTTATGTTTTGACATTGATCAAACTATCAACTCACATGGGCAAAGGCACCCGACACTAGGAACAGATTATAGGCTGTCCATCATTGATGTCGATTACGGCACAGGGAAACAAACTGAGACCACAGACGGTGTAACATATGAAAATAAAAATAATTTATAAATCGCCAAGAGTTGGTGAGAGAGAGAGGGTGTGGGAGGGAGGGGACAAAAGAGGAACTGAACCCAAGGGCTCAAGTAGAAAGAAAATGTTTTGGAAATGTTGATGGCAACATATGTACACGTGTTTGGCGCAATTGATGTATGCATTGTTATAAGAGATGTAAGAGCCCCCAATACATTGATTTCTTAAAATAAAAACACACAAACAAATAATTAATTGATCGACTACTCCTCTGTGGCCTGTGTTTGCCTTTTCCATGTATTTGGTGTGTGGCATGCATGCGAGATTTATACCCTTGAGAAGGCTTGGCACCCGGAAAAGGTATGGATGCTTCATATCCTTTGACTTGTATGTTTTATGTCACTTTGCTTATTTGTTTCCTATTTTGAACTCACACTAGACCCACTAACCTGACATGGAGCGTACTCCTGCCCCAGGGATGCTGGGGAGAAAGTCTTAAATGTCAGTACACTAAAGGATGAGATTTATTTGGAAGTTCCGAGGGGCAGTAGCAGTTTAGTGGTAGATTGCTCCCCCTTCACGTGGCCAGTCCATCTCATGTACGGTCACAGCCTGTCCGTCCATGCAGGTTTCCTTGTTGCTAATTCAGAACAAGTTTGCGTGCAATTGCTAGGCTGACACTGCAGGAAAGAACTGGCATTCCACTTCAGAACATCAGCCAGTGGAAAGCCTTTGTATCACAATAGTCCTTTCTGCAAGTGACCATGGAGATGTCCCAGGACTGGGCAGCCTTTCCTTCTGTTTTACATGTCTTTACAATGAGTCAAAGGAGCCCTCTTGGCACTGCCAAATAAGCCTTGGGCTGCCAACTTCAAGGTCCATGGTTCCAACCCACTAGCTGTTTCTCAGAAGAAATATGAGGCTTTCTACTCTAGTAAACTTTTACAGCCTTGAAAATCTTACTGAGGGCAGTGCTCAGAGTTAGAATTGTCCAGTGGGAGTGTGCTGAGCGGTTAATTATGAGTCAGGGACTGTCTCAGCAGTAGCTTTAATGAAAGCCAAACTCACTTCTACCGCGTTGACTCCGAGTCATAGCAATCGTGTAGAACAGGGAAGGATGAACCCAATGGGTTTCTCAGGCTGTCATCCTTTAA